CTTATTTAGAGTCCTTTATACGAATCAAAAGTTTACTTAAATTACTCAAGCTATATACACTATTGATATACGTTAGCGGTTAATATTTCATGATCATTAATTGAATGTGTATCATAGTTACTGGGTGCATTTTATTGAACATGACCTGATCATTTTTTATCATGTGTTGTTATTAAAGCGGACTTTTGCTCGGTGTACCAATATTGGGCCGGAAACCACCTGGATCTCGGCGCCCAATGGTCAATAATCCCTATTACAAAAATCCCAATTCCCAACCTAAATCTTGAAAGGAAAATGCCCGATTCGGGTCGACCCTCAAAGTTTTCAAAGAGAGTGTCGTAATTTTGTAATTCATGTTGTCGCTATTACAGAGAATTTCGTATGACTTTAATTGCAAAGGTACGCGGGATCACGGCAAGGACGAGACACGTCACGTCACAGTCACGGAGCCTCGCCTGGTAGTGACGCCAAATGAACTTAATAATTCAAGAAAATATCACTGTCAAGGCACGTCGGTAAACTTTAGATACTACGTCACTTTGTGAATATCATTACAATCTATTCAATTCTGTGCGTGCCGTTTTTAAAAGAGCCTGTGCATGCAAAATTTCTAAAYTGTCAGCCACTGAGAAAGTGACCGCGGTAAGGTCTTGGTTCGGAATTACCTTTTTTTTGCCTTCAATCTCACGAAATCTGCTCTAATCAGGCTAAATATCAAGGAAGAAGGGATCATAACAAGGTGTCAAGGTAGAATGAAATTTAAAAAAAAGATCTGTGCTTAGTTTTCCTTGATGGCTATATAACATATCAAACAATTGCCTAACATTCTGTGTCTTTTGTGGGATTCTTTATTTTCAAGGATGGGAGGGGAGTAGGACAAAATCATAATGACCCAAAGCGATTTCTCTGCAAATTCTGTAAGTTTTAGCCATTTTAAAAGCGCTAAAAGGTGGAAAAAACTTTAAAGACTTTCTAACGTACTTCCTACCATATATGCTCAGCAAAAGTTTGGCAAACGAATTTTTCTCTGAGGCAATTGTTTGATATGATATAAGCCCAAATTATTTAGGGAAGAACGATTTGAGCTGATAGCACAGTATCATCAAGCCTCTCAACTATCCACGGTTTTCGATCCCCCTTGTAACCTATCAGTGACCATCCCGTTATCCCTTCGATCTGGGAATAATTTGTCACACGAGAGCCTATTATCTTAAACGCATCAATGAATTGATCAAARGCTTSCTTGTCAGGAATATGATCGTTTTTTCCGAGTTCTGTCCCTTTTCGATGTATTCCCATCAARACAATCTTATCATTAGGAATACTTTTTATGTATGTACTTGCAGCAATTGCGGCCCCATCTTTATGTAATGTATCGAAACCTTTCATAGAGAAATGAACATTTCCAAGATTATTGAGAACAAGGATGTTAATACCATCGCTCTGAAAATGAATCAATATTTACGCGTTTATTTTAAACTTGCATTTACAGCACCGGAAAAAACTGGGCTACTTAAAGGCTGTTAACTTAATGGAAATATGATGTAAATTCAAACTATAATAATTACAAAGATTGTGTACCAGCATTAATTTTGGTCATACGTACTCTCAAAAACTGACAGCAATGATCAAGACTATCATGCCTTTAGCTGTGATGTATATCAGATTAAGGAACTGCGCAATATTTATCAGGAGGGCCAGGTTGAGAATCCAGGGGGGGGCAACATCTTATTTTATGTGCTTAAAGAGGGGGGGCAATGTCTAACATTAACTAGTACTTTAATTAATTGGAAACTGAAAAATCAACGGTGTCAGATTCAAAAAATTCTCAAGAAAAGCGTGCAACGATTTGCGACAACTCTTCATTCTTCGGTGTAATTCATTTCGTTTGCAAGGAGGGTAGTAATTCTAATTAAAAGTTAGAAGTTTAAAAAGTTTTTTTGATTTTTTGGCTCATCTCCTCCTATTAAACATTGTGCAGTCCCTAATATGCCTTACCTCTTTAGTATATTTTATTCCCTTTGGATGCATTGCCAATTCTAGTCCCGATTTGACGCTAACGGAAATGGGTTCTGAAAGAGAATGAAAAACCGCAAATACTTAAATGAAGGCAAGTTACACGCCAAAAGTAATTAGAAAAATGGAAAATGGTAGATGATGAAACTTAGCTTTATTTTATCTAATAGTTGCAAATGCATTTTATATTATTCACAATAGGATAAAGTAAAAGTACAATAGGAGTACAAGATGACGCCATGTTTCTTYCATAGCTAAAGGCCGATGATTTGAACGGGAAAAGGGTGTATTAAGACTTCCCTACTCTAGACGATAGTGCAAAATGAAATACCGCAAAAACGCATAGGGCTAGACAGCCAGAGTTTAGGATCGTGAATTTTGAATCGGCAATATGCCACCCAGAACACTCCGTCTGAGTGATGGGTTAAAATTTATTATTATTATTGTTATTAGATTGAATATAAGGAATAATAATCTTAGCTTACCCATACAGCTCAATTTTCCATCGCCAATATATCCCGTTTTGCAAGTGCATGAGAAGTTTCCACGGTGATTTTTACAAATTGCTTGGCTATGACAAGGATTAGGAACAGACAATCTACACTCATCAATGTCAACTAAAAAGTAAATAGCACAAGTTTAGTTCATAACGTTGATACGATTGTGTATTGCTCAGTTTTCTACTTTTTGTACAACCTTCGTCACAACGATTGAAATGCCACATACACATCCAGACCATAGCTTGGCTGTATGAAAACTGTCCACTAGGCAGCTAGGTTTATTTACGTCGACCTAATATTAATATAGACCACTTGCACATGCCTCAATGACGAAAGGGTCTGGCACGAGTTACATGAAAACGAGGCCACAAAGGGAATTTGCCAAGGATATTTCTTTTGTACTCCGAAGAAAGCACAACCGTTCAATGATAAGCTAACTTTTGGTGATGGTTTATCAGGAGGGCCCGACGGGTTCTGTTCTTCTAAATAACTGTTCTTGTACGAATTTTTTTCCCGGGAAAGGGAAGCTACATTGCTGACAATCTCACAAGCAAATGTGGCTGTCAAAAAAGGCTAATATATACTGGGCTTATATAACGTTTTTATGATCAAAAACGACTTTAGATTTTTTTAGCTAGGAAATATTCATTTTCCTGACAAAAATTCTTAGAAAGTATTCCTTGCCTGGTAAGTTCTTTTTTCCTGAATTTCTTGCTGGGAACCAGTTGTGACTTACATCTGGCTGGGACATAAGAACAGAATATATATTTCTCTCATGAACCCGTCGGCTCCTCCTAGTATCTCAGATAAGTTTAGGGCCTCGATCCTTACTTACCACAAGCGCCAAGTAAAATATTTATTATATAGCCAGGTTTACAATCACAAGTATACGACCCCAAGGTGTTGACACATTGCGAGCCGCTGTTTGTACATTTTGTTAGGCACTCATCAATATCCTCTAAAATATCAGTGATAACAATCTATTAAAGCTTCACTTAAGACGGAGGAAAGGAAGTTAAAAAGACGAATGATCTTCGTTTAAAAAATTTTGCTAATTGGCATAAACTTTAAATTAAAAATAGAAAATAAAAAAAGTTAATAACCATCCTCGGGAACCCAAGGGTAATCTTCTGTCGTTCGTTCCTCACTCCCAGAGAAAATACCCCTGGTCACGAAGTCGATCTGTTAGACTTTGTTCTCGATTCGAAATTCAAAATGGCGGCCGGTAAATTTTTGATTGGTCGAGTGATTCACTCGAACATTCTGATTGGTTGATCAACTTACTGGCCGCCATTTTGAATTTCGAATCGAGAACAAGGTCTAACAGACTTCGTACCCAGGGGTATTTTTTCTGGGAGTGAGGAACGAACGACAGAAGATTACCCCTGGGTTCCCGAGGATGGTTCATAACGTAAAAGGGCTTATTATAAGTAATAGCATGGCTCTGAGGGAGAGATTAGGGATTAAATGTCCCCGAAGCCGAGGGCAGATAAGTTGAAGTTGAAGTAACGGTCTGGTTATCGTCTCAGTCACACTGAAATGTGGGATGATTTTYGGGMCAAATTGRCMGAGWAGCTCTGGTTCCGAGTATCTACTTCGTACCGCTGAGCATGTGCGCATGCACTTGACGAATTTCAATGTTTGATAATAGTTGATAAGCCTCTTGGCATTATACTTGCAAATGTAAAAACAACTTTTCGGGGTTGAAGTTTAAGGTTCGTTAACTTCAGCATTGAATAGAACTGAAAAGCAATTTCAAACAAAGTTCGTTGTGGGAAATCAGTAACAATGGTCGGATTATCAATATCATTTTGTACTGTTGTTCGGCGAGTGATACTCTTAGAACAGTGCGTATCCTTTCTTTTAATGTCATATTCCAATTCATGCATGAATTGTTTGTTGCAATGTTTATATTACTTCTGATTGAAAACATTGGAGCATACAAAAAAACAAGAATTCAAATTCGCTCAAGTTCAACTTCAATTTTTTCCTCGGAAATCATGGTATTACAAAGTAATAGCATGGCTCTGAGGGAGATTAGGGATTAAATGTCCCTCAGCCTCGGGCAGATAAGTAAAAGTCCCTCCGGCCTGCGGCCGTCGGGACTTCAACTTATCTGCCCTCGGCTTCGGGGACATTTAATCCCTAATATCCCTCAGAGCCATGCTATTACTTATAAGAAATATATACTACGAGAGTTTGAGGTCTTTACATGAAACATATAGTTTATGACATATTAGCGTTCAAAGATGCTGAGTGGCAAAAGCGCTCATATAATCAATCTAAAAATTGGTTTATAAAACAGTTTGACGCAAAAAACATTTCATATGGGAAGCTCAAAATTGCGAGGAAAGCTTATTGTGCTAGATTGTTTCAATATTTAGTGTTGATTTAGGATTGAAGGGGAAGGACTAATGCATGAATGAAGGAAATGAGGAAGGAAGAAAAGAACGCAAGATCGAAGAGTGAATGGCTGGTAGGGAGAAAGGAAAGGAAAAAGGCAAAAGAAGAAAAAAAGGAGCAAGAACTACAAAAACAAGAAACAATCGTAATCACCACTTACTTACCACAACTATTTATTCCATCTCCAGTGAAACCCAAAGGACATTTGCAATCAAACGAGCGGAAAGTATTCGTGCATTTAGCATTTTGATGGCAGTTGTGCTTTTTGATAGCACACTCATCAATGTCCACTGTAAGAAAAATAAACAAGAGAGAACAAAAGGATGTAGGGATTTTCTGACAAATGTACTGACAACAGTACTAAGAAATTGTGTCATTTGCCATTTTTCATCTTAGTAGACTTTTAACAGGGTCTGAATGGGGTTAACCGACTAGCGACAAATGGACAAAATAACAAATTTGAACCAAATTTGCTGACTACCGACATTAACACATTTACTGACTGGCGACATTTTCCAATATTCAAAGATGTCAGCTCCGTGAATACAAGCTTTTTTTTATTTTTTAAGCAACTACATTCGAAATTTTCCGCGGAAAAAATAAATTTTGCTTCGGATTGGCTTCTTGAAGTTGTGATGAGCCACTATAAAGCTTTAAGGGCATCCAATTGACCAATCAAGACTCAAGGATTGAATTGTTGGCATTTTAGATAGGACAGAATTCTGTTGGTATAAAGCACCGTTTTAGATGCATTTAAACTTAATGTTTATTAACTTTTTTTAAATAACCGACTACCGACAAATGCCTAGAATTTTAACTGACTAGCGACAAATGCTTGAAATTTTAACTGAATACACCGACNNNCCCATTTAAGACCCTGTTTTAAAACAAATTAGCCTGCGTAGTAACCAATCGTTCCTAGTCGCTCAGATGGAGCTTGGACAAGGGAAACTCTTGCTAAAAATCAAGATATAAACTCACCACACACAGAGCCATCTCCTGCAAGACCATCCCAGCAAGTACAAAAGTATGACCCCAAAGTGTTCGTGCAGTTTGCGTTAGAATTACAATTATGAGTACCCTTTTTGCATTCGTCTTCCTCATCTGGAAAAAACAAATCATGACAGGGATGATGATGATGATACAAAAGTCAGTTGTAATAGCACTTATATTATGCTTGTATGAAATTAGCCAAATTGTTTGTCTTCCCAAGTACCCTTTCGGTCTTAGTTTCTATGATTTGACCTTTTTGGACCCGACAACGTTTCTTCAATTAGGTGTCTCTAACTCTAGTGCCCTCAAGTTTATAATAAAGTTACATATACATGCTCAGCTGCGAGTACAATAGTCTCCTTCACGGTTGCCTGCGCCATCTTGAAAGGTAGCCGTGCCTTTACATCGAAGCGAGACGACCGTTGAGCGTGCAATGATAGAAACCTTCTTTCACACCTACAGACAATTATTCACAGGTATTTATCATTGCACGCTCAACGGCTGTCTCGCTTCGATGTAAAGACACGGCTACCTTTCAAGATGGCGCAGGCAACCGTGAAGGAGACTATTCCTATTATTACAGAGCAACTAGTCACAATTTAATTACCCCGACAGGTGTAGTTGTCCGTGATATAGTTGGGAATACAATATGAGCCTATAGGACATGGTGAATTCTTGCATTCAGACTGAAAAATAAACAACAGAGAGATAACAATGGATCGATTATTTTTTTGGTATCATTATAATTTGTATAGGATTTTCTAGTATTTTCCTGTATGGCTCGCTCATTGGACAAAAAACAATCATTTTTTTAAAGTTTCAACTGAAATTTTGATAGATACTGCAAGCATATGGATTTTTTCAGGAATGAGTCGCATTATAATAACGATTTCGTTTACTCTCTTATTTTTCAATTTCTGCAATGATATATTTTGTACATCGAGTTATAAGAGGAAAAATATCAACATAAAGCAGAATAATTTAAAGGTGCTATAGACGCGCGACAATCGCCACTTTGCTCTCGCGCACCTCAAATCGTACGTGTTAACAGCTCTGCGATTGTCGCGGCGATAAAAAATCGCCGCGAGTTGCAGCTAAATTTCAAGCATGTTCGAAACTAAGGCGATTATCGCGCGACAATCGCGCAGCAAAAATTGCAAGTAAACGGGCCTTATCCAAATTTGTCTCTGGCCAACAATGAATGAGTCTCATGTAATGGAATTAACTAGGCAGGACAATACAAGAATTTTTTCAGATAACTTTCTGACTAATTTTCGCAATGTTTTAGTCACCAGCACTCTCTTTTGCTTTAAACAAATTCTGCACATACACTGGCTTTACCTGTATACTATAGTGGTTGAAGTCAGCACTGGTCGCATAAAAGTAAGATGAGTTGTACTTGTCCGTTGGGAGCAGTTCGCAAATGTACTGAGGTTCGTCTTAAAGTAAATAACATTGCTTAAAAAAGGTATACAGAGATGGGGGAAATACATTCAATAATCCAGTTTCGAATTCTCCAATGCTCTGTGTNGACAATCGCCACTTTGCTCTCGCGCACCTCAAATCGTACGTGTTAACAGCTCTGCGATTGTCGCGGCGATAAAAAATCGCCGCGAGTTGCAGCTAAATTTCAAGCATGTTCGAAACTAAGGCGATTATCGCGCGACAATCGCGCAGCAAAAATTGCAAGTAAACGGGCCTTATCCAAATTTGTCTCTGGCCAACAATGAATGAGTCCATGTAATGGAATTAACTAGGCAGGAAAATAAAAGAATTTTTTCAGATGACTTTCTGACTAATTCTCGCCATGTTTTATTCACCAGCACTCTCTTTTGCTTTAAACAAATTCTACACATACACTGGCTTTACCTGTATACTATAGTGGTTGAAGTCAGCACTGGTCGCATAAAAGTAAGATGAGTTGTACTTGTCCGTTGGGAGCAGTTCGCAAATGTACTGAGGTTCGTCTTAAAGTAAATAACATCGCTTAAAAAAGGTATACAGAGATGGGGGAAATACATTCAATTGTAATTACACACCTCCGATGTGAAAAATTGGTTTTGTTCCAAAGTTAAACGAAAAGCATGTCGAGTTGGTCGTACACCTTTTGCTACATTCCTTCTCGCTTGGCCCATTAAGTATCACMGCACCTGGAACATTAAGTCTACCATTGGGATGAAATGCAAAGTTCACAACTCCAAGTCCAAGATCTCTTAAAAGAGAGCCGCTGGATTCATGTTGATAAACCTGAGCCAAGATGTTTGGGAAGCAACTTACTACAAAAACTAGACAGACTAGGGATGCAGTCTGCATTTTTCCTAAGACAGGTTACCGGTGATATAGATGCATTGTCGAACCGATATGAATGAGGTCCGTAGCTGTAAAATTGATAAAGATAACATAGTTGCATAGTGATAACATAGTGATGTAGATTATTATATAATAGACTAGTGTTCTAAAGATCGCAGCGGGGACATCCCATGGAATAAACCAAAACACCGCGGGMATAAAAACTGAGTAAGTTATAAAAGAAACTTTTGAACTCTTGTTATTAATTCATGGCGGTTTTGTTTAAGAGGAATAATATTTTTCTTTCCTATTTGTATATTGTTCTCCAAATTCAAAGTTGGTGAGCTTAGTTTCTTGTTGTTGTTAATAACATATTAAATGCTTTAGGCTGAGCCGGCAGTGACCGCGGAGCAGTGACCGAAGGCAGTGACCGAAGGCGCGATCTGTATAGGAAGGGTCCGGAGGCATGCGAAGTTGACTCTTTAACGTTTCCAACTTGATGCCGTCACAGTATAGTCGAGCTCTGATCATCGATTTTTTATTTTAATCTTACCGATAGATTTCACTTACTATTAATTTTTTCGGAAG